GGCAACCCCGCAGCCGCGGCGGGGTCCCCCGCTTCTGAGGCTTTGCTCTGGCAAAGCCTCAGAAGCGCGGGACCCCCCCGCTGCTGCAGGTTTGCTCACGGTGTCCCTGGTCTGCTGGAGACGGTCCCCAGCAGACCAGGGGCACCGGGAGCAGCTTTTCTCGCCCCGGAGCTCGAGGTGGCTGATCGCTGCCTGTGAGCTCTGGGGCGAGAAAGCCCCGTTCGTAAGTGCGGATCCGACATAAGTCGGATCCGCGTAAGTCGGGGACTGCCTGTAACAACAACAATAATGAGAAGAAAAAGAATGCTTAGCACTCATATGGTGCTTTACACTTTAAAAATGTTCAACGAACATTAGATAATTCTTACAGTACACCTACAAGTAAAGTATCATTAGCCTCATTTATTTATTTTTCACACATCCAGAAATGTGTTAGTGCCTGATGACTTTCTGGATAACTTCCCCCAAATTTATACAAGCAGTGAGTGGCAGAACTTGGAATAGAAAGTCCCTGCTGTCTAGTCTCTGCCACCGTGAGATAACACTCCCTGATTATTGAGGGTATATAATAGTTTACTAATCTGGGCTGTGAGAGCTCTGGCTGAGTCCCATAATGGGAATGGATTTATGTACCTGGGCATGTAACAGTGACCCCTGTATGAGCATATGTAAATAGTAAATATGTAAATAATTTTGTTGGCCATAATCCGCGTTATGAGGTATTGTCGAATATGGAGTATCTCTAAGATCATTCAAAAATACCGTCGTGTAACTAGAGAAGGGCAACAGTCCTTACTCTGTAAAGATATCACCCAGAATTTTGTGGGTTTTTTTCTTTTTTTCTTCTCTCTGAGGGGCCAATGGTCTAGCTAACCCACGCGATTTCTTAGTACCAGTTGCCTGGTATGAAGATTGCCAAGTACCAGGTGACTACACAGTGATCAGCAAGTACCAGGGCAAGCTGTTTTCAGCCCAACAGGTAAGGAAATCAGAATCCTTTTCACAAAGACTTGATCACACTGAAGCTCTGTTAGTTACAATTAGTACACTTTATAGTACTGTTTACCAACATGGCAAATAACTGTGGGGGACCAGTCCTTGTACTACTGAAGTTAGTGGCCAAATTCCCACAGAATTCAATGAAACTAAGATTGAATCCATAGCTGGCTGGCACATTTCTCCCTCCAGCTAAAATGCTCTCTGTCCATCATAAATGTACAGGCAGTCCCCGGGTTACATACAAGATAGGGACTGTAGGTTTGTTCTTAAGTTGAATTTGTACGTAAGTCGGAACTGGTACATATTGTAGGGGAAACTCTAGCCAAACATTTTTCCAGAGCTCAGTTTTATTCTCCCACACCTCATTTCCCTCAGTCCTTTATTCTCAAGCTGAAGTGTCTGCTGAGAAAAGCCGCTCTGTGTCTCCCTGGTCTGCTGGGGGGGGGGAGGGGGGGCGCGCTAGCTTCACGTCTCCCTGGTCTGCTGGGGGGAAGCAGCTAGTGCCGGGTTGCCTCACCCCGTTTGTAAGTAGGGATCCGATGAAAGTCGGATCCATGTAACCCGGGGACTGCCTGTATCTTAAAGAATTGTTTGACTCTACAGTTAGCGATTCTGTGCCTCGGGGTGATGATCTTTACCTCACTGCTTCCAAGTGCTATTCTGTGGCCTATGTCAAAAGAATTGAGTGTGTTGTGTGGAATGGTGTTGGTCTAATTTCTAGTGAGCAGGTGTTCCCCTCATCAAAAAATTGCCATTACAACCATGAAAGAGTACATGGGCCTTGGATACTGAAGGCCCCCTATCACTAGAGATGAGGCAGGGCTGAGGCCCCTTGGCAATGTGAGGTGTGGAGAAATGTGCCCTGCCACTGCCCAGGCAGTATCTATTCTATTGATATACAGGGAGCTTTGGAGTCCCGGCTGGCACCATTTACTAACACTGAATGTGTTTTGAATTACAGAGCAGTGCCCTGTATGTTACTAAGGAGTTGGAGAGTTCTGTGGATAATCCTCTGCCCTCTTTGTTTTTCTTGAATTGACAGGATTTCTCCCCATTCAATGTGGTGGCCTGGCATGGGAACTATACACCATACAAATACAATCTGGACAACTTTATGGTCATCAATGCTGTTGCTTTTGACCATGTGGTAAGTTCTGGGGCTGTCAGTACAGGACTGTGTGAGGTGGAACAAAGCAATTGGCTCCTATGAAATCCACTGAAAAACTAGGTTTCTTATTAGGAGCCTAAATATAGATTTAGGAGCAAAACTGGGGCACCTGCGTTTGAATACTTTGGCCTAACTTCTCCAGTGCCACATAATGTGGCAGTGACAGAGATAGAAATAGAACCTGGATCTCCTGACTCCCAGTCTCTTGCTTAAAGAGCTGCAAAATGCTGCTGCTCCTCTTCAGCTCAATCTTCTGCTTGTTGCTCCACAAAGCTGACATCTAATTCAGCCAAACACCAATGTCTGTAAGTCCTTGGAGGTGTAGGCCAAATCCTGCAGTGGTCTAAATGACAGTGTAAGTGATATGGCAGGTAACCGGTGAATTAGAAGTCTGCGTAGCTTGCACCATTTTGGCATCCAAAGAGCTGTGACTCTGTGTCTTTTGGGAACAGCTGGGAAAGCATTGACAGTGCAAGGCAAGACAGACCGCATACAGGGTAGGCCTGGTTCTCCAATGCATTACACCTTTTTATGATGAAACAATGGGTGAAACTGGTGTACTAGGGTGGGGACTTGGGCCCTGCATCCTTATGTCAGGGAATCTTCAGCTCTCTTGCTTTTTGCTTTTTTTCTTGCACTCTGAATAGGTAATGGGGCGGGGGGCAGGAATATAAGCTACAGTCACTTTGTACATCACCTAAATTGATGGGACTTAGTCTAGTTTACCACTTATTCCTGATTTCTGACAGACTTTCTCCAGGCATGTAGCTGACAGCACGGTGTGTCCCTGCTACACTAGACAATTATTATTACTTACTGCTCTTATTTAACATTTCTACTGTGGGACCACCATTGCATTCTAAAAGACAAGACCTAACAGGTGGATGAGACAAACAAGTAGGTCAGGGTGGGGAAGACAGAGTAATAGCTATAACAGGACGGGCATGGTTCTAGCCGACAGGCATTCTCAGAAATCTGTTTCAGTGGGAGTGGGTATGAAGATGTCCCAGACAGGATTCTGATCTTTTTGAATGGACAGAGGTAGGACATAAGAGAAGGTAACCTGGGACACTGAGAGAATATAGTCCCATAGGCATCCAATCACCTTGAATAACTTAAATCTCACCATTTGCAAACCTTCCTGTTCGCCTCCTGCCTAAAGAGAAAATACTCTCCTTGGAAACTGTTCCCAAGGTAGAGTAATCCTGTGCCTTTAAGGCAGAGGTGGACAAAATACAGCTTGTCTCCCTCCATCACACAACCCAGCAGGAGTCTCGGGCAGGGTCCCTGGATACTGCATGCCAGGAGGCTGATCAAAGTGACTGGCTGCAGGGACCATGTGCATCTCTGTGCCCAGGGGAGGGGGGGGGCAGGGGAGGGGAGCGGAGCAGAGGCTTTGCACACTGCTCCTACCCCAGCGCAATCTCACAGCTACCATTAGCTGGAAACTAGGCTACTCCGAGGGCGTGTGGTTCAGAGATGCACATGGCCTCTGCAGCTGGCTGCTTTGAGCAGCATGCAGGGGCATTACAGCCAGGGAGCCTGCCCAAGGGTCCCACTGGGCTACTGGCCGGGAGCCATCTAAGGAAAGTACCACCCAGCCAGAGCCTGCATCTGGTATCCAACCCTTCCCGCATCCCAACTCCCTTCCCAGGTCATAATCCAAACCCTTTGCACCCCTGTTCCTGTACCCTACCCCCTCCCAGGTGCTGCACCCTAATCCTTTACCCGAGGTCACAACCCCCTCCTTCACCCAGACTCCCTCCCAGATACCACAGCTCCTCCCGCATCCCAATCCCCTACCCCATGCTCACTTCTGCACCCAGCCTGCATCCCAGACCCCACACCTCCTCCATTAATTATCATAGAAGAGTAAGGTTCTTGACCACTTACCAAAGTGTTAGTTTTTTGATGGGGGGACCACTCCATCACCCACCTCTGCTTTAAGAACTGAGGGTATGTCTACACTACCACCCTAGTTCGAACTCAGGTGGTAATGTAGGCAACCGGAGTTGCAAATGAAGCCTGGGATTTGAATTTCCCGGGCTTCATTTGCATAAAGCCGGGCGCCGCCATTTTTAAATGTCTGCTAGTGCGGACTCCGTGCTGCGCGGCTACACGCAGCACAGACTAGGTAGTTCGGACTAGGCTTCCTAGTCCAAACTACCGTTACTCGTGGAGGATCTCCTGACGAGTACTCTCCTCTACTCAAACTACTCGTGGAGGAGTAACGGTAGTTTGGACTAGGAAGCCTAGTCCGAACTACCTAGTCTGTGCTGCGTGTAGCCGCGCAGCACGGAGTCCGCACTAGCAGACATTTAAAAATGGCGGCGCCCGGCTTTATGCAAATGAAGCCCGGGAAATTCAAATCCCGGGCTTCATTTGCAACTCCGGTTGCCTACATTACCACCTGAGTTTGAACTAGGGTGGTAGTGTAGACATACCCTGACAGAATAAGTGCACTCTTAGTCAAGTCTGTAACATCCTGTTGATTAGAGATTATCTGCAGAGTTTTACAATCAACTGAGCAGAGCAACCCCATGGTACCTGACTCAAGCAGCAAGTTTTAAATGTTCCTGTGTTACGCTACAAGACGTTGTGTGACATCACTATTGCTTTTCACACTGGATCCAATCCAGCTCTGGTGTAAAGGGGGCAACTTCCTAAGTGCTGCACATGCTTACATATCACTGAATGTGGCCCAGTTCACTAAACAGGGCCAAGCAGGGGAACTTTGCACCTACAAGGAGAGTTGACTATTGGAATTGGTGTCCACTGTGTAAATCAGAGAAGGTTTTGCCTCAAATTCTCATTTTGATTCACCTCTCGTCGTTAGAAAATGACTTTGCAGAGTCTTTCCTTTGGGTCCCTGGAGCCCAGGGCTATAACTGTATTTGAAGAATTGGCAGTTTTCATCGCAATAGTTTCTAATGCTTATGAAAAGTAACAAAAGCCAAAATCAATGCAAGCAGCTTCTCTTATAAAGAACCAGCCCTGTGAAACATTTGTTTTCATTACTATAGCTTCTGCAGGGTTTCTAGTTAGGTAGCCAACAGAAAGCATTGCTCAGACTCCAGTTAAACAGGCCAGGAGAAAGGATGATCTTGTGATGAAAACCCAGGGAGTCAGACTGGAGACCAGTCCCAGCTAGGCTACAGAATCACTATGTGACCTGAGGCAAGTCACAATCTCTCTGTACCTCAATTTCCCCACTAGTAAAAAAGAAAAGTGATTATTTCCCACCTCATGAAGGCCTTTGAGCAATGTTCCCTCTATTTTTTCCATCCATATGTGGAATATATTTTGTTATGCGCATCTAGGCATGTCGTAGAAACACATGCTGCTGGCTGTGGGCACTCTGCTAATCACATGGACAGTATATGAATCTCTCCTGAGTGGCCACCTAACTGCACAGCTTACAGGGAATGCTGCCTCTGAACTGAAGTTTGTAGTCTGTTGCATGTTCTTGTCTCCAGTAAACTTCATGGAAGGGATTGAGGAGGAGTTGTGGACTCAAGGCTTCTGTCACTGTCTTACTGTGCCATCTAGAACAAATCACTCCCTTTCCTCATCAACTGAGGGGATGAGAGCACTGCCTCACTGAGGTGTTATTGATTTGTGTCTGCAAAATGCTTGGAGAGCCTCAGACAATAGTCCCCTCTAACCAGTGCACAGCACAGACCCACAGCTGCTTAATGGGTCCCGCCCAGCCAGCGGCTCAGGACTCGCACATGGAGCTGCCTGGCAGGGGGAGGAGCACTTCTTCCTCAGTGACAGCACCAGCTCCCTGTTGAGGAGGAAGGGTGTGGGAGTGCACTGGGGGTGGGATGTCTGGAAGGGGGTGCAGGAGCCTACCAGGTGCAGCTTAGGGCAGCCCACGTGGCTCTGTGTGGCTTTGTGCACTGCCCACCGCTGTGATTCGGCCAATGGGAGCTATGCAGTGCGGGGGGATGGGGGGGGGCGTGCCTTCCGTGGAGCTGTCTCCCTCCTGCCAGCAGAGCCTGCAGAGAGGATCCAGACCCAACTTGCCTGGATTGAGCATGTAAGGCTCAGGACTCCCCACACACACACAGTGGAGAGACAGCGCTAGCATTCCATCCATGGTGCCCACTGCGTGGCTAGAGCACAAGCACTGTCTTGCAGTCCTGGGGAATATGGGGGGAGCCCTGAGTCGCGCAGGCCAGATCAAAGTAAGCCATTATCTGAGCTGTAGGTTCCCCACCCCTGCCTTACACCCTGTGATCCTCTAAGGGCTTACACACTGATTGTTTAATAATTTGTTCCGATATCTTTCCCGGCATTTAAATTAACCTGACTAGTCTATAATTTCCCAGGTCACCTTTGTTTCCCTTTTAAAAGATAGGGGCTATGTTTGCCTTTCTCTAGTCATCTGGGACCTCACCTATCCTCAAGGAATTCTCAAAGATAATTGCTAATGGTGCCAAGATGGCTTCAACTAATTCCTTAAGTGCCCTAGAATGAATTTAATCACATTTTGCTAACTTGAATACTGAATATATATAAGTAATTATTGTAGCTAAATATTTTTTAATTTGCCCCTTTCGCTATTTTGGCTTCTGTTTCCTTCCCTGTTAATATTGCACTGAGTATTTGATCATTATTAACCTTTTTAGTGAAGACTGAAGAAAAAAAGGCATGAAACACCTCCACTTTCCTAAGGACCTGCACTTTCCCTCCTCTTTCTCTTGCTCCTAATGTACTCAGTGAACAATTTTGGCCATAGCCTTTCTGATTATGTCCCTAGCACACTTGTGCTATTCTTTTGTTCTCTGCAGTTTATCCATGTTCCCACTTTTTGTAGGATTCCTTTTTAATTTTCAAATAATTAGAGTTTCTGATGGATCCATACTATTCTCCTGTCCTTCCTTCACATCAGGATAGTTTGCAGCTATGTCTTTTAGAGAAACTTACTAACTCTTCTTTCATTTAGATTTTCTTCCCATGAGACCTCGCCAGTTCTCTGAGTCTGTTAAAGCTTGCTTTTTTAAAGTCCATTGTCCTTTTTCTGTTGCGGTCACTCCTTCTTTCCCTTAGACTTGTGAAAACTATCATTTCATGAAAGCTTTCACCCCAACTGCCTTCTACCTTCAGATTCACAACCAATGTCTTCCCATTGGTCAGAATCCATGCTAAAATGACAATTCCCCTGGTTACTTCCTCCACTTTCTGAAACAAAAAGTTGTCCCCAGTACATTCAGGGAACTTACTGGAAATTTTGTGTTATGCCATACAGTATTAAGGGAGCTGGGGGTGGAGGGCAGGGAGAGGAGCAAAGCTGTATGGTCTGCCTGGTAACCAGCAGTCCCTGCAGGTTTGAGGAACTTATAGTGTTATGGGCTCAAGACAGCCCCTCTTCATCTCTTGTAGTAATTGTGGCGCAGTTACCTGAGGTACCCAGTAGGATCCAGAGAAGGTCAGGGGTGGTAGAGTGCCTGTCTTGGGAGAGACAAGACTTGGGGTTCTTCTAGACCAGCCAAATGAAGAAGCAGCCTGTTCCATCTCCTCCTTCAGAATGGGATCCAGAATGTTCAGAATGGGATCCAGGGCATGAATGGCTGCTGCAGAATCCCACTCACCATCCTAACCACTTCTAAAATGCAGAGGGGGAGAGGCTGACTTGGCAGGTGTGGCTCAGAGGATGCCGCTGAACTGAGACCTGAATTTGGCCATGTTTTCTGATTTGCCATCCTGTTTGGTGTTTTGTTTTGTTTTGTTTTGTTGTAGGACCCCTCTATTTTCACTGTCTTGACGGCCAAGTCAACACGACCTGGAGTAGCACTTGCTGACTTTGTCATCTTCCCACCCCGATGGGGAGTGGCTAACAACACCTTCCGGCCACCTTATTACCACAGTACGTCTGCTATTACTGTTATGCTTGAGAAGTGGGTTGGAGAAGGGGGTAAAAAAGCCAGGCTTTCTGTACTCCACTCGAACCCCAAGGAGAAAGATGGCTTTGCCCTGCATCCTCTCACTCAGCTAACATGGACTACTTGCAGCCAGCCCAGTCTCTCTTGAGGGAGGAACGAAAGGAAAGCTGCCCCCATTTACAGCAGCTGAGGACAATTGGAAGGGAGGTGATGGGGCTTGCAGCTACATACACACATTTATTTGTATCAGAGAAACACTGAGAGGCCTCACCAACATTGGATGCCCATTGTACTGGCTCTGTGCAAATGCCTCGTCAGCATACGTCTGCATTGCAAGAGAAGGTGTGAGTGTCGCACAGGGAGGAGGACCTACATCAACTTTAATCTAGAGCAGATAACAGAAATAGTGAAGATGTGGTGGCTCAGGCTTCAGTGCAGACTCACTGCCTTTATACAGCTCCACAGGGGACCCTGGCTATGTATTCAGGTTACCAGCCTGCACCAGAATCTGTGCCTCCATATCTCCCCAATTATTTATATCTGCACTAACTATATTAAAGCTAGCATGGGTGTACCTGTGCAAGCTATAACTGCATGTCAATTTGCAGTGTAGTCATACGCTATAGATAGTCCCTGCCGTCAAGTGCTTGCCATCACACTGGAGAAGAGAGACAAAGGGCAGGGGCAGGGAAATATCCCTGTTTCACAGATGGGGAATTGAGATACGGAGCAGTGAAGTGACTTGCTTAAGCTCATTCAGGAAGTCTGTGTCAGACCTGGCACTGGACCCTAGATGTCCTGAGCTCCTCTCCACTACCATAACCACAAGGCCATCCTTCTTCACCACTTCACATGTATCCAGTTGGAAAGTGATGCTGTTGTTGTTACCCAGCAATATCTGGAGAGCTGACAGGCAGAGATTAAGAACCAGTATCCTTTTCAGTCCTGTTTCCAGTGGCAGATGACTACATAATGGAAGAAAAATAACCCCTCACCAACACTAACAGCTTCTTTTTGAGTGGCCCTGGACAGGGGCCAAAGACTGAATGCATGATAAAGATTCTTTTTCTCCTCAAGCTCCAAGCAGTTATCCTCCACAGGCATGGGTGAAGCACGT